ATATATATATATATATATATATAATCATCAGGAGCTTTAAAATATTCACTTTCTTATGTTATGTGTTAAAATAAAAGTGAACCACCCCTTTTATGTTTTGTGTACAAAAAAACTAATCCACCCCCTGATTTGCATGGACGGAAATCTTGCCTTTCTTACAACCCTTTTCGATAAATAATGCATTCTCTCTTACTAAGAGAAATGTGAAGGAAAGAATGTTAGGGTTGTGACGATTTGGTTTTAATGAATTAAAGAAATTATATGTTTACCTAAAGAGCATTTGTGGTCACTCATATGTATAATAGACGAAGCTTCAAGGTCCAGACAATACCAAATAACTCTACGCTGAGAGTCACATGATATGATTCTTATGGAGAACTTGGACGTTTCAAATAACCAAAGTGGGTATGAACACCGGGTTCTCTCAAGCGAAGCACGGAAAAACAAACAAAAAAACCTCATGTCTAGTTGCCAACTGCGTAGCGTTGCACCTTCTCGTATGAGGACAACTAACGACTGTGTTAAGTGACAGGAGGGAAAAAGCAGCGTGGACAAGTTAATGACAGACAAAGCTGCAGGCAAAATTCCAGTGATGTAAGTTGTGTGAAATAAGTTTTAAAAAATATGTATACAGTGAAAAATACTTGGGTATAAGTAGTTGTGTGTTATACTTGGCAAGTTTCTGCCTTGAATGATAGGTAGCTGCATAATATAAATATTATTTCCAAGGTCAAAATTAACAGAATAATAATTCTTAAATACAGTATTTATTTGTACGCAATGAAGACAGATTTCCTCATCAGTACAAAAAGAACAAGATAAATGAAAAGTTGGAAAGGAAAAATAGAATACCGTTATCTTTGAAACTATATAAAACTTTATAATGTGATTTTATATCACAGTTGTTAGAGAACTATTAGCAATATTATTTTAAGCGCAAACTTTGCCATGTATATATCTGTTTTCCAAAGCTTGGAAGAGGGGGGGGGGCTACTACTTTCGTCTATGTGTGTGTTAGAAAACACCGATTATTGCACTTGTCAGGCTTATTTCAATGGATATCTAATTAGTTGGGTTTACTAATTTACCCCAAAACATAGATTTATCACGCGTGGAGACGAGACAACTTTTTTATTATAAAACTAACTCCTCAGTCAATGTAATACTTGCAAATAATGTTCCTACAGAGTAAAATTGTTTTAATTGTTGTTCAAAATCAGAGAAACAAAATATATGAATATCCTGATCATATTGTAGTTTTGTGCAGAAGAACAAGTGTGTAAATAACCTGGCACACTTCGCAAATCGTCTACTACTCGCTAGGAGACCTTAAAAAACTCGTTTCCATAGAAATAGAATATTTATAAAAATAAAATGTTCACAGAAACTTTGAAAAGGCAGATATTATATAAATAATATCAAACACGTATGAGTAATCTCATTAGATCAATAATGAGATACAAATAACGAATAGAAAGAAAGATAAGATCGCTATTTCTATATAATGGTATACAAAAACAACGATAAGAAATAACCATGAACTTATTAGATCTCTATAACGATATACATAGTCAACAATATAAAACAAACGTAAGTTCACTCGAACACTGTAATAACAGACATAGTCAACAATATAAAATAAACGTAAGTTCACTCGAACACTGTAATAATAGATATAGTCAACAATATAAAACAAACGTAAGTTCACTCGAACACTGTAATAATAGACATAGTCAACAATATAAAATAAACGTAAGTTCACTCGAACACTGTAATAATAGATATAGTCAACAATATAAAACAAACGTAAGTTCACTCGAACACTGTAATAATAGACATAGTCAACAATATAAAATAAACGTAAGTTCACTCGAACACTGTAATAATAGACATAGTCAACAATATAAAATAAACGTAAGTTTACTCGAACACTGTAATAATAGACATAGTCAACAATATAAAATAAAC